ATGAGAATAGAAACAGAATAAAACAAGTTTTGTTAAAATCGGGCCACAGGTTACCAAGTTAGCACCATTTTTCGGGTCACTTTTCGTACATTCCATTATTATAAAACTTCATTTTCAACCTGATGAATCACTTTAAAATATCTTCTATACAACAATATATGCACAACAGAAATTAAATGATGAGATGTAAATGTGTTATAACGGTGAGTAGAAAGAACAACAATAAAATGGACCTACAATATTATTGATTATTTGCAAATAGTAACTATGGAGACTAGTCACGGTGGGCTAGTACAAATTATAATTAACCCAAGCGCATTTAGGTCGTTAATAATATTGTTTATTTAGTATTTTACTTAATCAAGTGTAATGCCCCCCAGTATCACAGCTGTATGTCTGCGGACTTACAGTGCTAGAATCCGGGTTTCGATACCCGTGGTGGGCAGAGCATAGATAGCCCATTGTATAGCTTTGTGCTTAACTTGAAACAAACTCAAGTGTAACTTAATAATAACAATAATTTATTTCCTAAATCAAGTAAATCTTGTACATTTTTATTCATAAACAAAAATTCTCTTACTGGTATTTTAGAATTGGTTATATTATTTTCATTTTTTATCATTAAGTATAGATTATTAAAAAAATTCAGTGCTGAGTAAGAAAAATGTTTATGCATGATCTCCTATTTAACTATTGGACATTTTCCTTTTAAAAGTATCTCATTTGTACATTCCTAATAATTGGTATTATTTTTTTTTGTGTAATTATCTTTAGTATGACAGGAGTGTTAATTTATCTTTATTTTTGAATATATGTTGTTGTTTTTTGTCCCTCAGTGGTAAGTTTACAGACTTATAATACTAAAATCAAGGGTTTAATTTTCCATAGACAGTGTGCAGATGGCTCATAATGTAGCTTTGTACTATAACTAAAAAAAAAAAGATATAATAAAAAAGATTTTTATGTCATGTATTAATGTATATTTCAACAAAACTTGCATTTTAGTGCCATGACCATAGAACTTATTGTGAAATATTCTGTTCTTGCTAGCATACATATTTCTCTTACATAAACTCTTGAATAAACAAGTTTAAAGCAGCACTTCTAACTGAACAAATGGTATTTTCTGTAATTAGAAATGCTCACAACTAAGAAGAAATGTTTGGTGCTGGAGAAAGACAGTTGTTTAATAAAGATGTTGAGTTTAAGACTGTCCTCTCCTGGTCTTAGGATTTTTCCCAGTGCTCTGAAGGCCCCAGAAATTAATCTCCTTTCAACTGCAGACTCGAGAAGATCAGAGTAGTAGATAAGACAATGCCCCTTAGAATTAATCTCAGTAACTTACAGATAACTGAGGATTTCCAAGGTGGAATGGCAACTGGTGAGTTTGAGATCATGTGGGGAGGTTTCTGCATGACTCCCTGCCAGAGTAACAGCCCCAGCTCTGATCAAGACCACCCAAAATTGACTGAGAAGGTCTGAATATGCCTACCAGTTAAAGCTGTTTTTCCAGCAGGTGAGACAGTGGGTAACTATGAGTAAAGACATGTGAACTGTGGTGCTATAGTGAGCCTCTGTGAGTATGGAAATATCCTGGCAGGATGACCATTTGTCTTCAATGAAATTTGGCTGCAAGCAGAATTGTAAAATTGCCTGCTGAGAGCAACTCCTTATTTTGTCACTCTGGACCAGGTTTCAACTTTTTGTCCAAATGTTTGAGTCCCTGATTACTTCTAATTCCCTGTACTTATGACAGTGGATGACATCTCAGCCAGGTATTGGCCAAGATCCTGCAAGAGAAAGGCTTTGGCCAGCACCACAGATCCTCCCTCTGAGTGAAGTCAAGCAGATTATGTTTTGATGTTCAAATGAGTGGAGAAAGAAGGTCTGGACTGTTTCTTGAAGTGTTTCAGAGGGTTGAAATGGCTGTATTTAGAAGAAGATAGTCCAATGCCTGATCATCAACATGGACAGTCCAGTCCTTGACTCTGTTAAGCATTTGGTTGAGGAGTAATAAGATAATTGGAACACAGTCGTAACCAAGTTGTGCTGCCAATTCCATCCGATGGAGAATCAAGCTATTCATCAGACCAACTTTAAAACTTGAAAGAGGAGTGCCACCAAGAATCTAGTTAAAATCACATGGCCGAGAAAACCATTAAGATATCTTTGTTCTAGTTACCTTTGTTCTTTTGTGGTTCTATATAGAGATAATACCTTCTACACATGAGGGGATATTGCTGTAAAATTGTGCAAGAAGGTGATGGACAGAAGTATACTTCACTGGTAAAGAAGATGATATCTAAAGGTTGCAGCCTCCCCTATGTTGAATGTGAATTACCAGTCATGTGGATAGTACTAGTCATTATGTATAAATCCAATGTTTGCTGTTAAGTAAGGATCCAAACATTTCTATATGGTATTTTGAGTTCGTTGATGCAATGATATCTTGAGAGAAGAACAAATATTGTTCAATTCACAAGTTCAGTAGAATGCAACTGTCTAGTGTTTTGTAGTTAGATATAAACAAAGGTTGTTCATTGGGCATTATATATCTGTTCTGTCTCCATATTTCTTAGCTTTAAAATTCAATCAATTTCATATTTACTTCATAATTTATTTTGCTTATCCTCCCATTATAAAATGGACCTACCTAATTACATTTACGTAAGTTAGTTAACTTGAGAATATTACACTTGGATATACTTTTCATTATACTTTTTCTTTTAGATTAATGCTTAAGTTTAAATACATTTATGCCAAAATTTTATATTGTATAAAAAATACTACTAAGTAAACATTTTTTTTGTCTTATCAGTGACATTTCTGTTTCTTATTAAATTTGGATTTTTGCCCATTAGGTTGTATATATTTTTTCAAGTCATTATCTGTGTTTAATATTGCTATACCTAGTACATTTTTAAACCCAACAGATGAGAAAAGTCATTTAGTGTATGTGTTTTCACCATTGTTGAAGTGTGGCCCGATCACTTGATCACAAAAGTATTGTTTGATATAATACAAATGTTTGTGTGTGTGTCATCCAGTCAACAGCCTTTCTTTCCAGTGTATTAACAAAGATCCTATTTTTAATAAAAGTTGCTGCATTCATTATAACAGTTTGAATGCTTGTGACATTTGAAGAAGTAGTGTTAACAAGTTTTCCGGAATTCTAACAGCTTACAGAAACATTTCATAACAGTTTAACATGACATTAGGAAATCTTTCTTTTGTATAAATTTGTAAAGGAATGCAAAGATAATAGAACCATCCAAAACTACATACCATATTGAGAAATACATATTGATAATCATAGTAACATCACACCTAAAATGTACATACAAAATCATTGTTGTGATAGATAATTTTGATGTATCAAAAGAAAAAATAGGTGTAACAACATAGATGCCTAGACATTTTAGACACTACTGAGGTAGTTTGAGCCATTTAGATGTGCCTCATGAGCAGTTACTATTGGATTAATTTGTTAATTCAATTAGTAGAGAACTCTTCTAAATATATGAAAGGTCTCAAGGTCAATCCCAAGCCCTGAAAATGCCAAAAATGTGATTATCACAAAAAAAAAACTGTGGGATCTGAGATAAGTACTGAGGATGGGCTTTGTTAGTGAGAGAGAAAGAATGTGTTAGTTCGTAGGGTTAAAATGTTCCTTATTATTGATATCTTGTGGAATTAATTTCGGCCCGCAGCAAAGTTCATATACAACTTGAAAGCTAACATGTGAGAGGTATAAGGTTCAATACCAAACCCAGAAAACTTAAAAATGGGATTACTACTCTTTATTTAGTATACTTTATTTTAAAGTAGTTTGTATCGGACAAGTATTCGTTCAATTCTTAATCTTTGGTTTTATTTTGCAAATATATCATTTATTTGTATCCCGTTTTTTATGATATATTTGATTCAAACTATAGTAGTGACAGAAAACGTAAAGAGAGTGATATTATATAGTTTATATATATTTTCAATAAAATAAGTGTATTTACAAAAAGTGCATTTAAGTCATATGAAAGAAATTTTATAAAAAACAAAAGTGTATATAGTTTTTGTTTTTAGAAGTTTTAAGCTAGCTTGCCATTTTTTTAGCTTTCATTTTGGTTCACTAAATTTATGGTCAAGACTTCCTGAATGGCTTGTTTGTTTTCTGTTTTTCTTTAAAAGGTAATATCCAAGTTGCACATGACTCATGTTGGGGACGAGCTCCATCATACAGGATGGAATGCTTGTAGCAGCTGCTATTGTGATCCTACAAAGTCCAGAAACCGTCTTATTCTGCCTAGCCTCAACAGTGATCGTATTTATATAGTTGATGTAGGAACAGATCCAAAGCAGCCAGAGTTGTTCAAGGTAAGAAATTTTAGAGTTAGTATAAGTAATATATGACCAAACAAAAGACATGCATTATATGTGCAACTCGATCTAAATCTTTTAAAAGGTTTTAGCTTAAAAGTTTTTGTTGTTGTTTTTGACTAAACCAAAATTTGTAAAGATAAGATTGATTGTAAAACTTTGTTATCTGGTATTTAATTCAGGAAAATGTATTATTTTGCTTCTCATATTGTAAATTCTTTAAGGACAGTACAAAAACAGTTTCATGGTGATCATTCTGAAATATTGTTAATGTTGTGACTTCAGTATCATACTTGCTTAAGACTCATCAACAGTACAAAATATATTTTCTAAGAAAGATTTATTGTGAACACTAAGCAAAAATACATGCATATATCAGGCAGACTTTTTTTTTTTTTTAAATGTTGGCATACAAGGAATAATTCCACTAAGTGCATTTGTATGCATAGACTGCTTTGTAGAAGTTTGTTATAAGTTGCTTAGTTACTTGATCAGTGCTATCATTATTAATTTTAATTTTCATCTATATTTTATAATTAAGATAAGCATTGTTAGCCAAACTATATTTATATTAGTACAGTAAAGTAAATGTAGATTTCAAGCTTCTAGTAATGGTTCTATATGCTAACTAGGTTATTGAACCAATGGAAGTTCATACAAAAGGAAGAACATCTGCTCCTCATACTGTTCATTGTCTTGCAAGTGGTGAAGTTATGATTAGCTGCATGGGAGATCCAGAAGGAAATGCTAAAGGTGTTCTTCAAGTTGGAACATTATGCTTCTTACAATTAGTTTAGTATAGCCTATGTTATTAATTGATTTAACTTTACTTTTACCTAACAGTTAGAACTGAGAAAAAATAAAATAGAAAATATAAAGGGTAAATGTACCAAAGATTAATTAAAAAATTAAAATTGGAATGGTAATAGACAATTTATGTTAGATGTCTTTCAAATTATGCATAAAACTACATTTGTTAACAGTGTTTGAAAATATTATAAATGTAACTTAGTGTCCTGGAATGTGCACTTAGTTTACAGTATATAAAATATCTATTTTTAGTGGGATTATTACTTTCTGATTACTCAGGAAAAACTTTCAAGTAAACCTTGATGAAATGAAAAATAATGTAGTTTACCATCCTGTTGTTAGTCTGATGACACTTATTATGATTAAATAGTAATAAGGAAACATTAAATAAGGTGTACCTTGTTTGTTTGTTGTTAAGCACAAAGCTACACAATGGGCTATCTGTGCTATGCTCACCACAGGTATTTAAACCCAGTTTTTAGTGTTATAAGCCTTCAGACTTACAGATGAGCTATTGGGGGGGGGGGAACTATACACAGTGTAGAAATAAATATCTCAAAGAATGTTTGTTTAGAAATGTAAAATATAATAAACAAAATGAAGCACAGTTTGAAAATTTAGAATAACAACATAGATAAGCTATTGTTAAAATGAGTGATTATACATTTGGTGGCTTCACACAAATTATGAAACACTGAAAAATATCAAAGCATAGTTCTGATATATTCCACTGCAACTTTATATCAGCTATGGTTTTCATGTGACTTGATGATTTGCATATTCAAAATCATTTTGATATAACTTATCAACCTTTTGTACATGCATAAAGTTGATATAATGCTAAATGTTTTTGATTTTCTATTTTTGGAAATTAGAAAAATATAGAAGAAGAAGATTGTAAGCATTTGGAATTAACAGAAATAAACTGAGTATTGCATGGCTGAAATAAGCCTCTGTGTACTGATTTTCCAATTTTCTTCCTCCTAAAATAAATAAATATTTCTATGACTTCTGTAATTACTGTTTGTCTTTTTTTTATCATTGTTTTGATTGAATATTTCAAAGAGAGTTGAATCATTAGCTTCTTTTTTTTTCCTAGTCTTGTAACAGAGCCATATAATTAAAACAGTTTTAGAGTTTGTTTGTAAGACAATGTTACTTACTGAAATATAAAATGTGTTTGAACAGAAAGGATGCTCCTAGATTCTTGTTGGTAAGAACAGAAAGATCAAGTTTTTTGGCCTTACAATCACTGCATGTATGTTTGTAAAGTATCCATAAATGTAGAGAGTTTGGTAGATGGTTTAACTTCAAAGATGGTGTGTAGATTACATTCATTTTAAGTTGTAGACAAAACCTTCTTATTAGTGTTTTAATTAAGTTGTTTAGACAAAAAAAATGTTTTTCTGACAATAATATACAATAAGAAACATATGGTGTTTGGTAAATGACTGGCTATGGCTCTGCTTAGGAATATCTCTTCCTGTTGTGGAGAATATTCAAACTTTCTCACTTTATCAAGACCTTATAACTTAGTCATATGACTATCCCTGTTACCTCCTTCATAACCCTAACTCTAACGAATTTTATGTTTTCTCCCTTCTCTTGATATTGGTGTTCATCCTACTTCATTTTCAGACCAGTTATGTTCCCTCGATTATATGCCTCATCCTTCTCGCCTTTCTGATTATCATGGCATACAATCATTTGATCTTTCTCTTTCCGGAGTCATAGACCTTGGAGTTCTTTTGCACCTGTAGGGGGCAGATTCTTTAGTGTTGGTTTTGCTTGCTCTTCAGTGCCCAATTCTCTCATCTTTGCCTTATCTTCTTTTCTTTTTTTTTGTTACCTTTCCTGTCTACACCTCAAAGCAGAGGCAATTCACTGAGCCCAAGATGACTTTGCTGGTCATTCCCATTCCCTTCTCTTTTCTACCATCTCCTGTACTTCTTCTGCCTTTTCCTCACTCACTTAGATCATTTGTTAATGGGTGGGGATACCATCCTTTCCCATGTTTGATTTCTCTCATCCTTTTTACAAGATCTCTGCCTCACCCCATTTCTTTATTCTTCCATTTTTGGAGGTATTTCTGATTCGGGTAAATCATGGGCAGAAGCTGCCCATCATCAGTCCTCACTAACATCCTTGGTTACTCGACTACCCTAAAATCCCCATCCCACTCTTTTACCTTGTCCTAGTCCCTCTTTTTCTCTATATCCTTCCTCTCTTCCCACCCCCCATTCTAATCAATTGTCTTTGGCCGAATGTCACTACTGCTAGGCTCATAGGTGACTATCAAGTAGATTTGGATCCTGTGGGGGCTTGTCTGTTGCCATTTAGTCAACTCTGGGAACAACTTTCCACAGACAGATGGGTAACTTGTGTCCTCACTCATAGACTCTCCCTCCACTTTTCCTCTCCCCACCTCTGTTGGTCCTTTTCACCTGGACTATGGATGTAGGGCTGGATCTAGGTTTGTCAGCACCCTGGGCAAATTGAATTTCAGCACACTTAAGACTTTTTACCATTTTGATAATTTTTTCACAATGATAAAAACCTACAAGCATAACAATAAAGCATTTATTACAAATAAATGAAAAACAAATCAAACACAACAACAGACATTCAAATCTGTACATTATACTAACAGAAACTTATTAAGACTTTCACCATTTTAGTAATTTTTCGTGATAAAAAACTTGAAGGATGGGAATAAAGAACTTATTACAAACAAGTGAAAAAATGTAACATGACAACAGACATTCAAATCCATACACAAACCTAACTAAAATTTGATACTTTTTTACCATTTCAATTTTTTTTCATAGTGATAAGTAACTAGAATAGGAATAAAGAATTTATTGCAAATAAATGAAAAACTAAATCAGTTAGGTTATTTAACAGTTAATGGTGATTATATATGCTAGAAATAACATTGCACAATATTGGAGGCTATAACATTTTATGAGAAGAATTAATAAAGAGAGTTGCAATTTTGGTATGCCAGAAATCAGAAAGTTGGCTTGTCAAAATTCCAAATCCTTTTTCACCTCCACCCAATAATTTGTTCACCTGGGAATATTTTTCAACTCCTTTCCCAGCTAGGCCCAATTAACCTTCTCCTATTTGCCTGCAAGCTCTGGAACTTTCTGTCACCAGGATGTGAGCCTCTCTTTCTCATACTGTGTGAGAGGTTCTATCACCTTTGTCTGCCATGGCTTCACTGAAATCACTTATTCCTCTGGGTCATGCTCATATGCACCTCCTCCAATGGTCCTTACATGACCACTCATAGGAACCTTTGAACTCAATGATTTTCCTGTCCCCTTCTTTTCTCGAGAATTTCTTTTGGTGGCTGGACCACTCCAATACTACTATTGGTGTGCCTCTCCTGCCATTCAAACCTGATTTACATCTCTTCACCAATGCTTCCCTATCAGGATGGGAATGGGGAGCATCTCTGATTGACATTTTTACATTAGGTATTTAGGACCAAGATGAATACTCTCTCCATATCAACGTGCTTGAACTTTTGACAGTGCTTTGGGCATGTTCCCATTTCCTACCCCTTCTAGTAGATCATTTAGTTATGATTCATTCTGAGAACTCCCCGGTTGTTTCCTACATCCACTATCAGGGGAGTACCTGATCCTGGACCCTGTTTTCAAACCCTTGACCTTTATTGGTCCAATTATTCTCAATGAATTCACCTCCTTGCCTGTCATATGCTGGGTGCTATGAATCTAATTGTGTCATGTCCATGAAATAGTCTCTTCATTCTCAGGTTTTAAGGATGGTTTGTTCTCTACTGAGGAATACACTCATTGATGCCTTTATCACACCTTTCAATTCCAAGATTCCCCTATTCTGGTCTCTTGTTCCCCATCATTCAGCCTTTGCTGTCAATGCTTTCAATCAGGACTAGCCTTAATTCATATACACTTCTTTTTGTGTCCTCTTGGTGACACCTCTGTGGCTAACTCAACCCTGGTTCACTCTCTTCTCCATCTTTTTTACAATCCCCCTTCTTCCTCTATCACCCATTCCATCTTTCTTGCTTCAACCTCACATGTCACTCTTTCATCAAGGGATCTTATCCCTCCATCTTCATGTTTGGGATTTATATACAGTCCACCACCTGTTGAACTGGACTTTTCCAGGGGTAACCTTTTTTCCTTTCTTATTCTTTTCACCCTTCTACTTTGTCAATCTACCAGCATAAGTGACAAGTTTTTTTGAAATTTGTCCATCTGTTGCCACTTTCCTCTTGACTGTCCTACCATTGACAAAGGATTGGCTGTCTCCAAATTGCTGGTTTTTGAGCTGCCTTGTCGACCACCTTTTGTGATATTGCAAGGTGTTTTCCTCCCCAGTTCTCTCCACATTGTTCCAGTCCTTCCTTATCCATAGGCCTCCTTGCCCTGTTCCCATGCCTGATGGGTACTTCAGTGTAGTCCTTCATGCTCTTACTTGGGCTTCTTTTGACCCATTGGCCACCTGCTCTTTATTCCACCTTTCCCTTAACCCTTTTGAGATAGGTTACAGGTGAAAGGCCATGTCATCTTGTTTGTTGACTGGCATTCAAAAATTTTTATGTCAGTAAGTTTGGTATCAAACTGTAGATTATAATTAAATTTTTAATACTATACTTTACTCAATTTCTTCACTTAAAAGTAAATATTAAAAAACAGATAAATATCAATTTTTGTGTGTCATGTGGTATGTTGAATGCAGTACTGGTTGAAATTAGATGTTTGTGAAGTTAAAATACTAAGTCTATAGTTTCGAACAAATTAGAAACTCAAATTACCAATATTGACAAGCTAGAATATAAAATATGAAGGTCTTATCTTTTCTATTTGCTAAGATATTACTCATGTAACAAATCAAACACAGTGGCACCCTTCCCATCTCTTTCCATTTTTGGAAATGCTCCATTATATACACTTACTTCTATGTATGACAGAATAACCAATTGGAAGCTCAGAATGTTCCCCTAGTGGCATTCTCAGCCATGTTAATGGGCTTGGATGCCATTTCTTCTTTTGAACCAATATTTCAATGAGGTAGGGTGTGTCTTTAGTCTACTCGAAATTTCATATTTTTTTAGACTAAAATACATTTTAGTTACTAAACTTGATAAATTATAATGGAATTCTATAGTACTGATGTAGTAATTTATGATTTTTAAGTTATTCAAATGTATATATATAAAACCTAAAAAAAAATATTTTCTTTCATATCCTCCACATGCAAAATTTTGAAGGGCTTAGCAACCTATGTCAAACAGCAACTAAGTACAAAGGTCATAACTAGAAGAGATAATTGTTTGCTTTATTTACTGTTCTATGTTTAAGAAAATAAGTTTAAGAACTTAGTTCAAAATAGCAATAATCTATATACATATAAAATGTATAATAATTGAAATGTGACTGTATTTTACAAAATACTAGTCTACTAAAGCACAGCTAAGACAAATTACTTTGTACAGACCAAAGGTCAGTTTTATGTTATTTGATATGGTAACATGAGTGCACGTGTGCCACGTCATTGTAACTTCTGTATTGTTACCAGAATTTAAACCCAAATTGACCTTAGTCTCAAAGGTCAATATGATAAAAATAATAAGTATATATAAATATATAATGTTATGAGATTTAAGCTATTTAGTCTAAACATTTATGTTTTTATGTTATAATTTGTGTTCATTCTACAATGAAAGAGGCATAATTTATAATTTTTTATGTTGGTTGCAAGATTGGTCAAATCTATCGAACCCATACAGAAATTAATTACTGAAAATAATGGATAAAGTATAAACTGTTTTCTTAAGAAACATTTGATAACTGTCTGTACATTATAAAGTTTTTGTATGTGAAATTTGAAAATTTTCTGATGCATAAAAGTATTTTTAATCTTAAAATGAAAATTACTTTGCATGATAGATAGGCTACATGTGAAAAGAAAAAAGGCATGAGAAAAACATTGCTTTACACACCTTAAGACTTAATAAAAAAATTGATAGACAGGCTACATGTGAAAAAAAAAGGCATGATAAAAACATTGCTTTACACACCTTAAGACTTAATAAAAAAATTGATATTTTATGTATGAAAGCATTGTAATGTTAATTGATAATCTGTCAAATTTCATTAACATTTGCTTACTAATTTAAAAGTTATAGCATAAGAACTATAACAAGCACAAAATGGTTATGAGGTTGGTCTGAGGGACCGAGCCCATGCTTAAAGAGTTAAGACCTATTTCCTCCTCACCTGTGGTTGCTGTTTTTAAGATCTCTAGACTGTTACTGTACCCTTTTCCATCGTTTATATATTTGCCTGACTGGCCTTTCCTTCTAAGCCTTTTGTAGCTCAGGAAGGTGACCACTCCTTCTCTACTATATCTCTTCCTTCTATTTCACACCTTTATGATCAGTCAAATGGCATTCGCTGTTACCTAGCCTTTACCTCTCCCTTTTGTGGCTCTTGTCTTTGTCTCTTTCTTCCCTGGACTTTTTCTTCCAGGGACTTATCTTTATCCACCCTTAAAGGCTGGGTCCATCAACTGCTTCATTTAGTCTACTTTTCATTCGGGGTTGATACCCATAAACTGTTCCATATTTTTTCCCATCAGATTCCCTACCTCACCTATTCCTTTGCTGCTCATTTCTGGTAGTCTGTGGATGAAATCATCCAGGCTAGTATGTGGAATATATATCACATCTTCATCATCTGGCTGTCTCATTTCCTGTGGGTTACTGCCTGCCTCCATTTGCTATCCTCCAGTCTACCCACTATCCATAGTCGAGTGAGTACATTCCCTCCTGTATTTTGTATAACATTTCTTACAGGTTCTGTCTGGTGGCTGGTGGTGCCTCCTGGGGTACACTCATTTCCCAAAATTCTGCGCATCAAGCCCATATATGCCCACTGTTGAAATGGGTTGTTCCGTAATATCACTTGAAGTATTCTCATGTATATTCTGATACCTGGCTACTGGTATGGACTATCATCAAAAAAACCCAGCACCAGGGAGTGCTTTGCCTGCTTCCTTGGCTCATGCTTACTGGCTTTTCAAAATAGGTTTATGCCATTACCTGTTGCACTGTTTCCAGTAAAAGACCTTTCTGGCTGAAATAGGACAAATAGGGATCTGGGTGTTTTCTCCAGGTCTCCCCACCATGAATTCTTCTTCCCTTTTCTCCATGTGGAGCATGGGAGACCATTTCCACTTGCCAGTTTCTAGTCACTGGAGTGGTGGACTATGGAAAACCATCACCATCACTGATTGGGACCTAATTGCTGGGGACAGAACAAGGGAGTGCCAATCAGTGGGAAGTGGGTTGGTGGTGACACTGTCAGTGCAGTGTAGGTCATCCCTCACATAATTATATCAGCAATATGCCAGAAGTACTTTATACAATACTGTGCCCTTTTCCAGTGGTCTGCATCTGTCCAATAGAGTTTAGGCTAACATATAATATGACTGTGCCCTCTACCTGCAGGCTGCAACTGTCCAGTAGAGTTAAAGTGAGCACACACTATACACACATATACCCTCTTCCGCAGTGGATGACTGTACAGTCAAGTTAATGCATGCAATCTTAATAGTACATACTTCATGTCATGACTTCCATGCCCTCCTTCTGCAGCTGGTGTTGGTCCAGGAGTCTGATGGTAGAGTTGAGGCAAGAAACATCAATATTACACACCATGTGATAAATTCTGTGCACTCTTCCTGCAGCTGATGACGATCAAATAATGTTGTTTTTTATAATTTAGGTTTCATTCTTTCATATGTTTTAATGCAGCAGTTCTCAGTCTGAAAATAGAAAATCTTTGTCAGAATCTTTGATTATTAAATTTTCATCTGTACCTGATGATGACAAAACCTTGTTGAAACGTTGTACACTTGCTGTTATGTTAAAGTTTTGCTTTATTACCCATTCAAGCCATCTCCAGCCATTATTAGCCTCAAAGTGGGTTCCTCGTCATCGAATTTGAATACTACATGTATGATATAATTTTTTTGTTCCAAAACAAACAAAGAAATTTATTCTTACCATGTTAGTCAGCCTAAGGTAGTGTTATGCATTTTGTTGACTAATGGAGTCATACAATCATATAATGAAGTGTCTGAACATTATTTTCACTTATAACTTTAGATATATATGATATAAAAAAGTGGCTAACGCAGTTAAAATGCTCTCACCTTCATCACAGAACGTTAATCTCACTTGAAAGATTTACCTTATAAGTAATATCCAAAATAGATTCAGAAGCCTATCATTTCATTATTTATTGTTGACAGTTAAAACTGCCATAATATAGTGCATGTGTATTATATTACAAAGTTACATTTTGCCAATATATATATATATATATATTAAGTATTTTAATTTGTTTCTATATCTTATACAAACTTACTGGCCCCCCAGTGGCACAGCAGTATGTCTGCGGACTTTCAACGCTAGAATCCGGGTTTCGATACCCGTGGTGGGCAGAGCACAGATAGCCCATTGTGTAGCTTTGTGCTTAAAACAAACAAACAAACAAACTTACTGTTGCAGGATATGTTGCAAATTCTGTTTTAGTCTAATATAGTTGTAGTGCACAGCAATGAATTTTTTTAAAAATAGTTCTTTGTGCATCTGTTCTAAATCATTGGTGCATTTCTGATTTTTAAGTAATAAGTAATTGACCATTATTTTACACTCCTTTACATAATGAAACACTAAACCTTTTTTTTTCAAAAAAGAAACAAGATTATTCAACTAACACTGTATGTCAGTATTTGCATATAATAACAATTTAAAGCATGTTTTGTTTTTAACCATAGGATCTTTCATCCTGCTTCATGGAGAAGAGTTCTTTGTGAAAGGAACATGGCAACAGGAGGAGAACTGCACTGAATTTGGCTATGATTACTGGTATCAACCACGACATAATGTGATGATAAGCTCAGCATGGGGAGCTCCAAATGCTTTCAGAAAGGGATTCCATTTGGAAGATGTTGCCCGAGGTATAAGTATGGCCACTAAAATATTTATTCCATGAACTTATTATTCAATAAATATGTATATGTGTATTGTCAGTTCAGATTTGTAATGATCAGAACTTCTAAAATAATTGTTTATTATTTCACAAAATTTGATAAAATTTACAACAAAGAAAATGTAATACAATTACCATAAGCAAATTATTATATGACTTGGAAGTTACATAGAACAGGTCTTAATCATATAAGTTATAACAATAAATTAAATGTAACAGTAACTGAACGAGAACAATAAAATTAATGTGTTACTAATAATATAAAAGTTAACAGTAATTTCAATCTACTCAATGAAATCATCATGCTAAAATAAGTTTTTCTTATGTAAGACCTTTTAAAACATTATTGTTTTTTCATTATGTCATTTACTCTTAAAGAAAACAAAACATTTTTTTTTATTTATCAAATTTTATTTGAACTACTTAAACACAGGAGATTATGGCACTTGCTTGACTGTTTGGAACTGGAAAGAAAGAAAACAAATTCAGAAACTTGATTTTGGAACTGAAGGAATCATGCCTCTAGAAATACGATTTCTTCATGATCCTGATGCTTCAGAAGGGTTTGTCGGGTGTGGCTTATCAGCAAATGTTTTCAGATTTTTTAAAAAAGAGGTACAGAATGTAATGCTTTATGCATATTTCAGTAGTTTGTATAATGATGTCATTGGAGCCATATTGACTTAAACTATGTTGCATGAAAAAAAACCACAATAGGTAAAAGTGAGTAACATGATATATTAGCTGTATTGAGGCATAAGTGTTCCTTCTAATGTTATGGAATAATAGCTCATATTGTTTGTTATAAAAATTAAATATAATTGGGTCAAGTTATTTTAGTTATTGAGTTGAATTCTAGATTTCACAATACTTCTCTTTATAATATGAATAATATGTAGGCATTCATAATCTCTGAGCCTTAATTTAACATTTCAGAATGTATTTTGATTTTTAAGAACTAAGAATTATTTATGTATAACCTAAGTATATGTTTTGCTTTATAATAGTAATTTAAGGTATGTAATTTTAAACATAGCAAACGTAGTTGAACCCTAGCACATGGATTGTAACAAAAGTAAAATACAAGCAAGCTTTTGTTTAAGTTTTGGATACTTAGAGATTTTAACGAAAGTTTACATATTGCTAAACAACAAAGGTCAATACTCAAAAGTCATTAAAACATGGGTAGTGAGAAAAAATCTCTAACTATGAGCAAAAATACATTGATCTTTGCAGTTGACAGAATTACATGTTGTTATTGTTGACTTGTTACACAATGTTGCAAGTTATTGTCAGTACTTAAGTGAAAATAGATTGTATTATCTGTTTTAGTAAGTCACTCATATTCTAAAAATAAGAGTTGTTTATGTACATAAAAGACCTATATATACTAGTACAGCACACTATTTTATCAAAGGTATTATTACAATGCCAAATAGGAATATACAGAAGTGTTACTGGCACATGAGGCATCCAGATGATCAAAATGGACTGTCGTTGGCTGGGATCACCTATCCTTCTGGTTTCTGTAAACCACATCATTAATTATTTTCAGTAAAGCATATATGGCCCTTCCAAGAACTTAGCTTTAGAATTCGTCCTTTCTTGTGGCAGGAAATGTACAGCCATACCATGCCACCTTGCTGGAATCCAGCCTTATCAGCATTAACATATTAACAAATTTTAATGTTATCACTATCTGATTTCAATCTTTCTTGGGGAAGGTCGTGAATGGAATCAATGGTGTTCCTTGTCAGGTGTTTACTTATGTGTGTGCACCAAACCCCAAAAAAACTGTGAGGAGCTCCCATGGATTGAAAAGGATAGAGAACTCCTAGAGAGTCCACTGCCCAGAAACTTCTCAAGTGACCAGATAAGCACCTCAACCGGAAAAGGAAGTATGTACAAAAAGTGATGTTCCAATTGAGGAGGAGGAAGATTATTAGGTTTTTATAGGGCCATGATTCTTTACAGTAGGTGTCTGTGACTTGTTGGCAATAAATTTCAACAATAAATGGACAACACACAGTCCACTTGTTTTGAAATAATATATGTCAATAGTCCACACAGGCTTGTTCAGTTACTTTAGAACCCAATTAACAAGACACATTCTTCTTCTTCTCTCCTCTATTATTACAATACAATCTGTGATTATTATACTTTAAAGGTCACACTATATGCTTATTATGACTAAACTTACAAACACATTCTAGATCTATTTGACTATATTTCTCACTAACTTTGTCTTACTTTCACTTTCACTAACTTAATTACTTAACTTGCACTACATTTTGGATGCATATTTATAAATAGCCCTACTGAGGCCTAGAACTTTCTACCAACTATGAGATGTTATGATATAACAATACTCACACTAAGCAATGAGAAAAATTCAAATGGTTTGAGTAACTTGATGTCAATTCACAAGAATTGAACTACACAATAGATGATTCATAAACAGTTACATAAGCAAAAATAACTTACTTTAATGCTCGCACTATATGAAGTAAATAATATTCTCACATTAACCATAAAATGAATAGACGTGTGTATCTAATACTCTTTAATCACTCTAAATATCCTATATAAGATTTCTAAGTGACTGTTCTCCAGAAAAAAGTACAGAAGGTAAAATGGAACTTTAAGTTCTCTCCTTAGTAGCAGTAGAAGATTTTATCTCATGCTTTTTATGTTCATTTGCATACATGGTATCAGAAGATGAATGAAGGAGAGTTGTTCTGGTTTTCTTAATCACTAGTATCTGACACATTTCTGCAAACAAATCAGATTCCAATATCCATCCGTGATGTAAGTGAAGCTTCATTGGCATATCCAGTCTTGAGACAAATTTGTTGAAAAGTTTCTTTGCAAGGGTTTCTGCTTCTTTGTTAGAAACAGCAAATGCTTCTGGCCATTTGGCAAAATAATCCATTGCAAACACGATGTATCTATTCCCACTGTTATTCTGTAGAAGAAAACCAAGCATATCAACAGCAACTTCCTCGAGGGGTGCGCCAACGTAATACTGCTGGAGCTCCCTATTCTGTTTCTTTCATGAATCTTTCTGCTCATAACAGAATTCACATTTTATGCCTCCAGCACCCAACCCAGTAGAGGCATCCTCTTAGTTGCTCCAGTGTTTTCTTAACACTCATTTGAAGGTTGTAGAGAAGATAGAATGCTTTGAAATAGAGAGACTGTGTGAATACCAACTGTGGTTATTGTTTTATTTCTATGGGTATCTCCCTATTTTCAACATAACGAGCCATTTTGTGAACGTAAGGAATCTCACTATGGCAAATACATATTAGTTTTTGGGCTTTATGGGGCAACTGTTTGCCTTGAGAGTTTCTTCTACATCATTCTTAAACCACTGAATAACTGGTTTTAAACTTGTATCATCTACCTGAACATCTTTGAGATGAGTTTTAGACCAAATCAGTTCCTCATCATCATTTGTAGATGTCACATATTGGACTACATTTTGCTGTACTTCTCTCTTTTCACAGTGTTTACACTTGTCATCAATACATAGTCTTTAGAATAATGCATCAACATTTCCATGTTTCTGTCCAGGGTGATGTACAATGTTAAAGTTGTACTCCTGTAGTTTTTGGAGACATCCTGCTATTTGGCATTGTGTATTATGAAAATTCACCAATCACTTCAAAGCTGTATGACCTGTCCAGAGTGTAAACTTGTCTATTTATATAATGATAAGTGATTCAGGGCACAAACAACATTTAGTAGCTCCTTTTGAGCTGTACAATACTTTCTTTCTGTGGCATTCTTTTCCTTGTCATAGTAGGACATCACATTTTCTTCTCCATATTGTACTTGTGACAAAACTACTCCCACTTCAAAATCATTGGCATCTGTAAAATGAGTGGATTTTCCAGAGTTTGGTATGCCAGTACAGGAGTACTGGTCAATTCATTCTTCAGTTTGTTGAATGATTGTTCAGAAAACTCACCTGTTGATGGAATAATTCATACTTCTTGTGATTCACCATAAAGTTCTCTTTCCTCAACTGATCCACAAACTTCCTTAGCCATTCATAAGAATTATCAAAGGTCTTTCTATATGCAACTATCATATCCAATTAGATAAGTACAATTTTTCAAGGTATTTCATACAGTGCACACCCCATTAACCATTGAAATGTAGCAGGAGTTTTAAGTAATTCAAGTGGTAACACAATAGATTACCAAAATCCATTTCCTGCAGTAAAGACTATGTTCTTTCTGTCCTTTGTCAATGTCCTTTTGCCAACATCCACTCTTAAGGTCTAATGTTAAAAACCATTTTGATTCTGATAGAGCATCCAAGTTAGAGTCAATCCTTGGCAGTAGGTAGGCATCCTTATTTGTAACTTCATTCATCTTCCAGTAGTCCACATAGAAACTTATATATTTATTCTTCTTCTATACAAGTACAATAAGTGATCCCCAGGACTAATACTCAATTTTTCACTCCATATTTCTTCATAGCTTCTATCTCTCTGTTTTGCAAGTGGTAGTTGTCTGACTGACTGTTGTTTTGGAGCTGCATCCTCAGTATCAACCTTGTGAGATATTTTACTGGTTCAGCCTAAATCACAAGGTCCACAAGGGAAGGTGTCTTGATATTATATGAGCAAATTATGTAACAACCAGTACTGATCAATTGTAAGACCTCCACAGCTCTGTTTATACAACTCTTGTAAGTGAGGTAGTAAGCTGTCCCTATGTAAGGGTTTGACAATGTTCCTCCTACATAATTCGTAGGTAATTGCTTTTGATGTTCTTTGATGTGGAAGTACAACTGTACAGCTTCATGTCTTGCAATGTACCATCAATATTTTTGTTGAATCTTATGGTTTGTTGTATTCATAGCCCAAATGATGATATCTGTATTCTTCAGGTCCACAAAAGTTTTACCAACCATTTATCCATCAGGATACACTACAGTGTTATTTCTATTACAGCCCACTTGCCAGATGTAAATTTTCTTTTATCAGATCCTGTTATGAGTACTTCACCTCTTGGTGATACAGTGACTGCTCTCGTGGTTGTCATGTGAAGTTCAATCTAGTGTCATAAATACCAGGTAGTGCATAGGGATTTTCTCATCATAGACAATGAAACTATTTGAAGCTAGCCTAACCACACATCCATATCTTCTCATGGAATCAATTTCCAATATGCATTCTTCGTTTATGTCAGTTACCCACATATCATAATGTGTAGAGATATTTCCCACAGTAAAATAATTTCCAACATTTCTCTTGCTGGAACCTAATGTCTACTTGCTGTTTGCATCACTCCTTCTTTCTTCATATTTAGAGACAATTTCCTACCTCTTATTACCAAATCAGGTCAAACTATTGTTGCAGTAAACTTAATGGCTTTCCATAAGTAGGATCATGGATTCGTGGACTTTTAACAAAATACTTATTTAATTTGAGGCAGATGGGGTATTCTCATCCAAATTTTGTTTCATAAGTCCTTCAAATTATTGTTTTCTGATGTCTGGTTGGCATGAAGACTCATCCCTAGGGTATTGTCTCTGTGGTGTCTTAACAACTGTTAATTTCTCACTGTCTTCTCATTAATGTCCAGGTTTCCCACAAGTAT